TTATCAAAGCAGAGCACGTAGATGCTCATAAATCTTCTAACTAAATATAGTTTTTAGGTTGCTATGAAGAAAAGCTGGTAAATCAAAGAATTTGCGCAAAATGTGAAGAAATTAGCTCTAAAAAAAGAAGATTACTTGATGAGTTTATTAAAATTGTTTGCTGCCTTTACCTTTACAAATAGTGTTTTTTTATTCTCTTACATCACCGCTTTATTCTTGTTTGATATCTATATGAAAATTCTTTTCTTTTTCTTGTTTCTAAAGTATAAAGGCTTTTCAACTGAAATGAAAAATTGTGCAGCTACGTCCTCGTTCGCTTCACTACTGTTGATGAGTTGTGTGTTGTGTAATTGTAGTCAATACTTCCTGCAATAATAAGCGTTAAAAGATTTTGAGACTTTCTATTCAAAACTTACTGAAAATATTTCTTGGTGACAAAGCCAGTTTTCTCAACTCTTGATTGAACCCAATTATTATTAATCTAAAAGAATTGTGGAATTATTTTCACAATTTTTACTTTTGGATGACTTCCTACATATAGACTCACGCATCTGTGCAATGCACTAGATTCCACGCTACTGTAGTACAAGCGAAAATAGCCCAACGATTTTGAAGGTGCGATGCCAAGTGGAAGTAAGTAAAGAGCTCTATAACAAATACTATCCCTTGAAGAACGGCTTGTTTCAAAAAGTTGATCTCTTTTTTACGGCGAGAATCCATTTCGAATACACCTGATTGACGGAGCTGAAATAGGAAAATATCATGTCCTTATTCTAAATTGGAAATAACAATGTTTTATTTAGTTTTCGTGTAGGCTTGTTCGCTTTCGGCAGACAGGGAAGTGAGGAACAAATGGAATGTACTTTTGTATCGCTTGCAGAAAAACTCTTGAAGTTGTACAATTATCGACTTAGAAGCCTATAAAAGGCAGCTCATCTTATGATGTTGAGTGAATTGAGCAGGACCACCGAATAGACTCACCTCAGTGAATAATGAGTTGTGCCCTGGAGGGGTTTTTATATGCAGGGTTGCCGCATAAATTGGAACGGCGCGAGTTCATTTGTTCGCCAATGCATCCCTCTTTCCTGTTCATTGTTGGACAAGTCCAGGCTTTCTAGGGTCTTGCGAGCAGTCCAGCTTAGCTTCGCGCGATGATTGAAACCGAGATTCAAAATTCATTTTGATGTCACAGCCTCCGAAGAGTGCCTGAAGGCAGACATATCCTTGTTTTTTGCAAGCCATCTAGATGTTTTCTCATTCGCTTAGCCGCCTTCCCGTTTCGTTACATTCAGGTTATAGGATATATGACCCCAGAACACATGCAGTCTTCTGGCTTATTTGAGCAGCAAATGATACAGTCCGCTTAGGCTTGATCATATGCTTGACTGCGCACTAAGCGTTAAGATTTGCGAGGAGAATCTGCACAAATCTCAGACAGTGCTGAAGGCCTGATTGCGCATCCTAATCCCGCTGAACTCGTCTGATTGATTTGCAAACGAAATGGCACTTAATTATCTCTAGCAGGCAGTCAATAGGCAGTCAATCTCACATATTATGTAGTACCAGCCTCTCTGCAGTGCAGTATACGTAGATTTGCCCTCTTTTTACTTTGGCATAGGAACTAAGATCACCTTTTGCGATCATTTGCTACTTGAAGGGGCGGGTGCCTTCCCAAGCCTATGATGTTCCTTGCTCCGCCCCGCTCCCACTTGACCAATTAGAAGGCGGTTAGTTTAGAATTGCAACGAGAACTGAATTGATGCTTTTCTGTTTAACATTACGTAACGAAAAAAGGGGAGGGTACAAAATGATGGAAGAGAACAGGTAATAAAGGATTATGGCGCAGAGCGAAAGAGGAACAACGCGCAAAGAACACTGAAATCTTAGCTACTGCAACTTTGCATGCTATAACTTTTTCACGGCTTTACTTCAAGCCGCAGGAACATGATAACACGGTAGATACTAAATTTCCTTTTTTTGCCACATCGGTGTTTTCCGTTCTGAACAAATTCTACAAAAAAACGCCCTTTTAGTAAATTAACGCCTGCACAATGATCTGTGCAAGTCGGAGGAGAACAAGGTCTCCGTCGGCGGCAGAGTAGGGGAGTTGTGGTAACTTCACGTGAGCTAGACATGGCCATCACCTAAAAACACCTGGAAGATGATACGGTATATCTACCTTCATCCGCCAGCGAGTTCGGGAAACAGTATCGCCGCCTTAATAGGGTATGGTTGGATACGTCTCCATCCGCTAGGTTACCTAAATCATGTTTGAAGAACGATCTACCCATTTCTCCTGTTCTCTACACGGTAATCAAAACTTAAAAGCTATCCGCGACAGGACTAACCTCAAATAACTGCGCGATTTCAGGGTAAGACCCATAATTAGTGGTATTGGAGGTGCAACTGATGGGATATCATGGTTTCTTTTAGTAAGTTGGCACCATTGTTAAGTAACACCAACTTATTGCTCGAGCGTCTTTGCGCCACACAATTCATAAGAATTGCGACCTGGAGTCGTTTGATGTCAC